TATAAAATTTTATAACTTTTCCGAACTTTTGACATAGGTTGAATTATGAGTAGTATGAGGTCTGACAAGCAAGTTCACAGACTCATCCTGGAAACAAACGCTGCCTTGCTCCTTGCTGAATTTCAGTGCACTCACGTGGGAAGTACTTGCTCTCCTTGGGAAACTCTGTCTTGACTCCAGCACCTGGTCTAGCTGCTGAAGATAATTTTCATGTACATTACCTCCTATGCTTATCAGTTTTTGTGGTTAGAATACTGAAAATTTAGTCTCAAACAATTTTCAAGAATATATCATTCACTATATTTACTATATTGTATAACGGATCTCCTGAACTTATTCCTGTATAATTGAACTTTTGTTTTCTTTGACCAACATCTCCCAATTTGACCCCCTGCCTGACCCCTGGAACCACTATTCTAGTCTCTTTTACGAGTTTAACGTTTAGGTGCTACATATAAGTGAGATCATGTATTTTTCTTTTGGGGAATGGCCTGGCTTTGTTCGTTTAAAACAGTGGTTCTCAACCTGTGGGTCATGACCCCTTTGGGGGTTGAATGACCCTCTCACAGGGGTCGCCTAGTACATCCTGCATATTAGATATTTACATTACGATTCATAACAGTAGCAAAATTACAGTTATGAAGTAGCAGCGAAAATAATTTTATGGTTGAGGGTCACCACAACATGAAGAACTGTATTAAAGGGTCACAGCATTAGGAAGGTTGAGAACCACTGGTTTAAAATGATGTCCTCTATGTTCATCTGTGTCACAAATGGTAAGATTTCCTTCTTGTTTGATGCTGAATAGTATTCCATCATGTATATAAACCACAATTTCTTTTCTCATTCATCCATCCACAGACACTTAGCTCGATTCTGTATCTTGGTTGCTGTGAATGACGGCACAATAAACACGAAAGTGCAGACCCACTGAGTTCATTCCTTTTAGGTGTAGTCCACCCTAGGTTTGCTGGATCGTATTTGGGCTCTATTTTTAATTTTTTGAGGAGCCTCCAGATATTCCATTACAGCTGTGCTACTTCACCTTCCCACCTGTGTTGTGCAAGGGTTCCTTTTCTCCCACATCCTCTCCAATACTTGTTTTCATCTGTCTTGCTGGTAATAGTTATTCTGATAGGTACGAATTAATAGTCCATTATGACTTTAATTTTCTTGGTGATTATGGATGTTGACCATTTTTTAATAAACCTGTTGACCATTTCTATATCATTTTTTGAAAAATGTCTATTTTGGTCCTTTGCTCATTTTTTGACCAGTTTATTTTTTCCTGTTGAATTGTTTGAATTCGTTATATATTTTGGATATTAACCCCTTATGAGATGTATGGTTTGCAAATATTTTCTGTCATTCTATAGGTTATCTTTGCATTCTGTTGATCTTTCCTTTGCTATGCAAGAGCTTTCTAGTTTAATGTAATCCCATTTATTTATTTCTGCTTTTGTTGGCTGCACTTCAGTGTCATATCCAAAAATTATTCCAGTGTCATAGAGCTTTCCTTCTACCAGTGTTTTCTTCTAGTAGTTTGACATTTTAAGTTCTAACATTTAGCTTGTGACCCATTTTTAGTTGATTTTTTATATATTAAGTGATAAGTGTTCAGTTTCTTTCTTTGGCATGTGGCTATCTGATATTCCCAGACCTACTTATTTGATCTTTTCTTTAAATCGTGTGCTCTTGGAGCCTCTGCTGCAAATCAATTGAATGTAAAGAATTGAGTTCAGTTCTGGGTCTTCCAGACTATTCATTGGTCTATGTTTCTGTTTTTATGTGAGGATTGTGGCATTTTTATTACTATTGTTTTTTAGCATAATTTAATGTCAGGTGGTATGACGCTTCCAGGTCTGTTCTTCCGACTCAATATAACTTTAGTTACTCAGGTTTGTTTGTGATTCCATATGAATTTTAGGGTTGTTTTCCTATTTCTATAAAACACTCCATTGGAGTTTTGATAGGAATTACTTTGTACTTACAGATTACTTTGGGCATTATAGATATTTTAACACTATTGCTATTTATAACCCATTAATACAACATATCTTGTTATATATTTGTATCTTCTTAAATTTCTTCTGCTAATGTTTAATGGTGTTGAGTGTATAGGTTTCTCCCTCTTTGGTTAAATTTACTGACAAGTATTTGGGGGCTTTTTAATAGCTATTTTAAATGGAATTGCCTTCTTAATTTTTTCAGATAGTTTTTTATTATTATAAAGAGATATTATTAATTGGATATGTTGATTTTATATCCTGCAACTAAACTGAATTTAGTTATGGTTTTTTAATTTTTGGTGTGGCCATTAGCATTTCCTCCATCTGTTTACAGATATATACATATGGGTTTTTGTGTTTGTTTGTTTGGGGTTTTTTTGAGACAGAGTCTCACTCTGCTACCCTGCATAGAGTGCTATGATGTCATAGCTCACAGCAACCTCAAACTCTTGGGGTCAATCAATCCTCTTGCCTTAGCCTCCCAAGTAGCTGGGACTATAGGCAACCACCTCAACACCCGGCTAGTTTTTTCTATTTTTAGTAGAGATAGGAGTCTCACTCTTGCTCAGACTGGTCTTGAACTCTTGGGCTCAGGCCATCTACCCACCTTGGCATCCCAGAGTGCTAGGATTACAGGCATGAGTCTTGGTACCTGGCAGCTATTTAACTTTTGCCTTTCCATTTTTGATGCCCTCTCTTTCTCTTGCCTAAATTTATGGCTAAAATACCTAGTAGTTAGCTGAATAGAAGTGGTGAAATTTAGCATTTTTCTGTTGTTCCTAATCTTAGTGAAAAAGCTTTTGACTTTTTACCTCTGAACATGCCCTTAGCTGTTGGTTTGGCATATGCGGCATGTGTAGCTCCATTGCTTGCCATATTTCTCCACATATTCATCCAGTCAATACTCTACCAGGTTACTGAGCACACGAATTAATAAACCAGAAGTCCAGAACTCAGGCGACATGGATGTTTTGCATGCTAGCGTGGGTGCTGCTTACAAATCTTCAAACGCTCTGTTCTCATATCTGTACCCCATATTTCAAAATAGGTTTCCAAATATGTTTTTGCTGACTCTGCCTTTGTAATCCCACTTGCTGGGTTTCACTTGCTTTTTCTGAGTCCCTTAATTGTTTTGTTTGTGTTCTCTTAAGACAATCTCAACTGAGTCTCATGTCATACAGTTTGATGATTTACGAGGAGGGGCTCTAGACTTTAAACCCTTGAATTTCAGTTCCTGCATCCCAGCTACTATATACTCTGTTCTTTTCATACAACTTGGGTCAATTACTTAGTTAACTTCTGTGTACATTTCCTTTTCCATATAAAAGACATTAACATTCTTTTACAGAGCATTTTTATGAAATTTCATGAAACAGTGAGCATGATGAGGGCTCAATGAATAGTAATCTTTATTACTAAAGCTGAGTCATGATTAGCTACATAGAATAGGATATAAGGACAGGATTAAAATCCTAATTTTTGTGATTTGGGGCAAGTTATTACTTAAGTGATCTACAAAATGAGGAAAATAATAACTATCCCACTGGCTGACTTTTGGGATCTGGTATAGTAATATTTGTAAAATATTTAACACAGAGATTTGTAAATAACAATGATAATTATGATGATTTTACATTGTTGCTTTACATGTATTTCTTTTGTAATCATCTACATAGCTATTATCTTTTATGAAGTTAATAGATATTAGGTAATTTTTTTCCTGTTTTTTTTTCCATGTGTCTTTTTCACAATAGTTAATATTTATTGAAATATTAACCTGGGATGACATGGACAATCCCATTAGGTGGCCTGCTTGAATCTGGGGCTTCTGGACCAAATACTTGTTTAATGTGCTGATATATTTTCCTTAGAAAATATAATTTTGGGCTCAGCTCCTGTGGCTCAAGCGGCTAAGGTGCCAGCCACATATACCTGAGCTGGCAGGTTCGAATGCAGCCTGGGCCTGCTGAACAACAGTGATGGCTGCAATCAAAAAATAGCCGGGCAATGTGGCGGGTGCCTGTAGTCCCAGCTACTTGCGAGGTCCAGAGGGAGGAGAATCACTTGAGGCCAGGAGTTGGAGGTTGCTGTGAACTGTGATGCCACAGCTCTCTACCCAGGGTGACAGGGTGACAGCTTGAGGTTCTGTCTCAAAAAAAAAAAAAAGAAAATGTAATTTTGTCAAAGCTGGATATCTAGATGGACTGGATTACTACTTTCATAGAGTTAATAAAAAATTGATGAGATATTTAGCTTTCTCATATATACCCTGCATGAATCATATCTGTTTCATCAAAATAAAAATGTATTACTTTGATATCTGTATTTACCTATAAAAAATCAAATTATTTTAAGGAGTAATACATAAATCAAGTCTCAGATTAATCCACCATACTGGGAATTTAGTCATCAAATCATTTTCAACACTATATTTTGATTAAAAACAAGATCTAGATACAGTCATCCATTTATTCATCAATTCATATATTTGACAAGCATATTAAATACTTTTAAGCATTTTGAGCACAAACATGTGGCTATATATGTAAAAATTGAAAATTCAAAGTCATAGTGCTTTCACCAAGAAAACTAAACCTAGAGAAGACGAGGGACACTGTGGTCTAGTAGGAGGAATTTACAACCTAGACAAGAGCGTGGACTCGGTGGGAACATGCATTTCAGGTAGCTCCTTATCATCGTGGGCTTTGAGCTAGAGAAAGAGAAATATGAATACAGTGGAGGGCCAGGAAGTTG